TTATAACTATTTAAGGCCTTGCTTATCATGAGTGAAACACTTCGAATCAGGTTGCAGTAGACTTGAGGTAGTAAACCTAGAGAAAAGGATACTATAGGATAAAACCTGGCCCATCATGAACTAAACAGGCTTTATTTTTCACTCTTGATTAATTTCAATCACTAACTCACCGTCAAGTTTCTCCATGATTTTGTATTCCTAATATCCAATATATTGCTTGCTGGACCCAATATGTTAAGATTGTCATCAGAAATATTTAGATGAACGATTTGTTGGAGTATTCTGGCTATAATAGTAATATTTTGTGGGTCTATTCCATTTTCTCTTTGTTCTTTGTCCATCTTATCAAGGTTTGTTAGGTTTAACAGATCGTCGATAACTTCTTTAGCGACCTTTTTTCGGTCTTCATCTGATACATTTTCACGATAGAGATCATCGACCTGAAAATTAAGGAGGTAGGTAATCTTCGAGTTAAGCCCTTCGAGTTAAGCCTTTTGAGTTAAGCCCCGACCACGCCCAAACCACGCCCGGATCATGGAGGTAGTAAAGTATTTGTCCCGTATACTATTTGTTCATGAGTAATTTCAGGTAAACTTCTATAGGTAATTCAAACGGATTTTCAGGTAAACTATAACAGCATTGACAGACAAATGTGGAAGTTAAAAAGGAAAGCAAGTTAAGAAAGCCAAATTTTACTGATTGCATTTCCGGCCTTTCTGAGGATTTAAATCTTTGAAACTTTTCTGGGAGCATTCTCCCTCCCTCCTCCCCCAATAATCATTCATTTATGTTTCGGTATCATCATCTTAAAATTTTACAACAGGTTTTTTATAATTATTTTATCACAAACAATGAAATACACCATCATGACACAAGAAATTCATCAAAACTCCATTACATAATGGCGAATTCTGTGAAACATATATACTCTTTCCATCAAAGGAGTTGCTGTATGAAATAAATTGACATCGAGTTTAGAATACATTATAATAACTCTTATTGCACATTCCGGAAAAACAACTTACAGAATTTTTTAAGAAAAGTAGTTAACTAGTTATAGACTCAATAGGCTCATAAGACAAACTAAAACATATAAATCATTATTGTAAATATAGTATCTTGGAATATTGCATGCATTTCAAATGCATATATATAGGACAATATGTCTCGTCATATATAATAGCTAACATTTTCATCTCCATATTGTATTAAATCTGCACAACTTCTTTACTAAAACATTGTAAACATTATATGCTGTACTATAAAAATTTCTTTCCTTTATTTCATTTCACTGTATAGTTAAGAAGTAATTTCAATATGTAATATATACTGAATATAACAATAAAGGGCTTGATAAAAGCCTGTTAAGATTTCTATTAGGGCTCTACTTGTAAATATTATCTGAAATGTTCGGTTATGCAATTTTGTACATAGGGAAAAAATAATCAAACAAAAAAAGTAGAAAACTTTGCGGTCTCGATGGTCGGACTGAGGGGAGCACATTAATTTCTTGATCAAAATACTTAATTTGACTATTAGTTCTCTTAAAGTTAAGAATGTTTTAGGAGATGTAATCCGATCCATTCTTGGAATTAATGACTTAGGAGCTCAAAATAATATGCATAAATAATATTTATAAAACTACATAATGTTTATAAATTTTCTTGCCTCTTTGTCCAGTTCACTAAGTATGCCATTGTTGCTTTTGGTATCCACTTTCGTTGTGCTTAAAGTTGGACGCGAATCTAAACAAATGCAATGCACGTAAATTATTTTGAAACAATTCAAGCATTAATTTTTGCAACTCGATTCCATTCATACGTACTTTCTTCATTTTAGTCCGTGTGTTGTGACCCGATATCGTTCACTTTCATTAAGCATGTCTTAGATCTGAAATATTTTTACGGGAACTAACACTTTCGAACACGATGATTTCAAATCCGAAAAGTTCCCACTCCGTAGACCCGCAGTTTTTTCACAAAATGCTATTTTATCTTCACTGATTTCACAACAAATTTTTTCATTGTTCAACGATACGGATCGATGACGATACACGATTATGTCACTCAAAAGGACCAATTTCTATTAACCATTCTTCCTTTTAACAAAAGATCGGTTTTGCTCGAATCATTTTGAGTTATGTAATCTTATAATAATAATAATAATAATAATAATAATAATCTGTTTAATTAATCACATTGCAGTCTCTACTGAATTACATGATTATAAGTAAATACATTAAAAATTAAATTTACAGATAAAATTGAGTTCAAACCGTTCAATGTTCGTTCTGAATAGTCAGTTTAAATCTGTCCACAAATTATAATTGGGTCCCTGAATTAATATACACGAGTACTACTAAATCAATAATACATTAATAATTATATTTGACAGTTATAAAATTTTGAAACCGTTCTGTGTTCGTTTGGAGTGACCAGCTTGATTCGGACCTAAGATTATAATTATGAGTATTTGGATGTATACGAGTTGCAACAACATCCTTAAGAGGATTTATAGGACCATTGTCAAGCTTCAATTTCCGAATAAATTGTTCACAGGAATTATGTCTACGCGTAGACCAGTATAATTCAATGCGTCTTGATACGACATTTCGGGAAGCAAGATACGTAATGCTCTTCTCTGTATTGATTCGATAAGGTCAGACTGGCCTTGAGTCAGCGTTGACCACGCAGGTGAGGCGTACTCAATTCGGGACCGAATGAAGGAGGAATATATAGTGACAAGGTCTTTATCGCTTAACCCAGCCTTTTTTAACTTCCGCAATGCATAGAGTCTGGAATTTGCTTTTTTAATCACATAGTCGACATGATCACACCAAGATAGATCCTCTCTCAGTAGCACACCGAGCAGTTTAAAGGAGGATACTGATTGCACTGGCGAACCATCTATATAAATCGCATTATCAAGTGGAAGGTGGTATTGGAGGAAGGATATTGTCATCTCCTTACATTTCTTACTGTTAAGCTTCATTCCTCTACTTGAGGCATACTGAGATACATCATTTACGAGAATAGGTAGCAAGCTAGGATAGCAACGTGGAACAATTTCTAGTGCAGTAGCATCGTCTACAAACTTTATCCGCCCATTCCAGTCCTGTAGGAGGGAATTGACTAAAATGGCAAAGAGAAGAGGGCCAAGTTTAGTTCCTTGAGGTAGGCCACCGTTAACGGGTTTCCATGAGGAAAAGGATGGTCCGATTTTAACACACTGTTCGCGGGAGGTAAGGAATGACTTTATCCATCTTATAATGGCAGGACTCACTTGTAATTTAAAAAGTTCATCAATAATGACAATATGGTCGACGAGATCAAAACCTTTTTTGAAATCAGCAAAAAAGATTCTTACAGAGCAGTGGCCTTGATCTAAAGCAGCATGAATCAAGTGGAGGAGATAAACGAGTGCCTGAGTGGTTGACTTTCCCGGAAGAGCAAATTGCTTTGGGTCCAATTTAAGACCCACTTCCGACATGAGGGACTGTAGCATAAATCCTTCCATCACTTTAGATACCTGAGCTGTGAGTGATATAGGTCTTAAATCGTCCTCAATAGTCTGAGGTGGTGACACTTTTGGAATGGGAAGGACGATAGAACGTTTTAGCTGATCAGGGAAGACTCCCTGGAGCACTGATGTATTGTATATGTCCATTATGATAGGGGCAAATTCAAAAGCGAAGGTTTTCAGGATCCTATTTGGGATACCGTCTGGGCCAGGAGACTTCGTCGTTTTAAGACGTCGCAACACTGAATAAACTTGCCCTATATTTACGAGTAGATGGTTGAGAACTTCTGTCTCCTGGTCATCGGTGCATTCTAACAAGGGTTTAAAATGCGAAGTTATGCGTGTTGGACGTAAACAACATATCTTGTCTATAGCTTTGAGAAGGTACAGATAACGCTTTCTAAACTCCTCAGTTCTAGAGATATCTCTTTAAAATCGCAATGACGTTAATGTCAAGTCTTTTAGCTATGTCACCGGCCTGAAAAATAACTCTTTTAACGCGATCAAGATATTTAAAACAAAAGTAACGCGAAGCCAACGTAACGGCAAAGATAACGCTAAAACGAAATATTGTCGAATGGTTGCAGGTAGAAGACTTCCGACAGGATCAATCTTAAATAACCTTAAACTATAAGAATAAATGTTCACATCAAAGACAAAGATCAGCCACAAAGTATAAAATACGCTCTGTAAACTTACCGCGAAGTGGAGAAATGTGTGCATGAGCTGTTTATTTGATGATTTCGACGTATATAGAAGCCCCCTTTCCAATAATACTCGCTTATCGCACAGTATAACACCAACTGATGTAATAGTTCAAATGCAATGATAAGTTATCTCTTGAATTACGTTTTGGAAACCGTGTTGGAAATTTCAGTGCTGATCCATTACATATAGATTACCGTTTTATATCTTTGTATAAAACATTTTGATCGCATGTAAGGAATTATTTCTTAGCCCAGAGACATAGCCCAAAGACTTAACATTAACGTCCTTGTGATTTTATAGAAGTAGATCCAGAACTAAGGATATTAGAAGGAATTATCTGTACCTTCTCAAAGTTGTAGACAAGATATGTTGTTTACGTCCAACACGCATAGGATTACATAACTCAAAATGATACGAGCGAAACCGGTCTTTTGTTAAAAGGAAGAATAGTTAATAGAAATTGGTCCTTTTGAGTGACATAATCGTGTATCGTCATCGATCCGTATCGTTGAACAATGAAAAAATTTGTTGTGAAATTAGAAGATAAAATAGCATTTTGTGAAAAAACTGCGGGTCTACGGAGTGGAAACTTTTCGGATTTGAACTCAGCGTGTTCGAAAGTGTTAGTTCCCGTAAAAATATTTCAGATCTAAGACATGCTTCATGAAAATCGTTTTCTAGGCACTTTTCGAGGTCACAACACACGGACTAATTGTCAAAAGTAACGTTAGAAAACAGACGATCTAGTCTAATTTATAGTCTTTAATTAATGGTCATTCAGGACTGGTCTACTTTAACTAAAAATAAAAACTGGATTATGAAATAAAAACTGGAGAAATGCTGCGGTGTTTCGTAGAGTCAAACTGTAAACACTCTTTCAAAACACGACTAAGATAAAACCTTGACGAAGTCGAATACCTGTATTAAGTGTTGTAGGACACACACACATTTTACACCACTCTTAAGGAGTAATTTTACCCATATAAAAATAGGTGTAATTCTTACACCACTCTTACGGGAGTAATTTTTACCCCATAGAAAGTAAGGGTAATATTTTCTCCCCAAGACAACACTGCAAGGGAAGCAAATTAGCATGTGCAAATGATGCGCATGCATTACTTACACGAATCGCCTTAATACAACATAATAAACATATCAATCAAATAACAATCAATAAATGCTATATTTGAGAAATTCATAAGTGAATTGATTATTACTTAATTAAACTACATCTAATGCAATATAATCATGTAGTCAAATACATGCATGCAGTGCAATTAATAAATCATGCATACATGCAGTATAAGGGAAAGTACATTTATTATGCCGAGGGGGGGGGATGAAGATGTTAAGGGGGGCTCCGAAATATTTTCTGGCATTAAAGGGGGGGCTCTGAAAGTTCTTGATATACTGAAGGGGGGGGGGGCTCTAAACTTTTCAAAGGTTTGACCCCAGCAAATTAAAGTTAAAATTTTTACATCAGTTTCAGGTAAAATTTGCGTAATAAAGTAATTATTTTTGTGAAATGATAACCATTTTTGTAAAATACAGTCAATTTACATGCAATTTGTTTGCGAAATTTGCTTTAGAAAACGCCAGAAATTCAGTCCTAGAGCTTCAAAAATGTAAAAATTTTCTGGGGGAGGACACCCAGACCCCCTTTTCTCCCAAAACTTAGTATGAGAGTGCCAATCAATCACAAAAAGCTTTATTATAATTATTACACGTATAATCCTCTGACATCCCCCCCACCCCAAATGTCAGATGCTTTGCTACGTCCCTGATGGTTGTATTCGAAACCGATTTCAGTTTTAAGATATCCTTAGTCTGCTCTTCTAAATGGATACATGAAATCACCTATAGCTTATTTTAAATTTTTTGGCGCCAGGTTTGTGAAGTAATTTACGCGCCAAAAAGTAGCAGTTCCAAAAACAAAAAAGCATATGCGATTTGCAAGAATGATATGTTCTATGTTTATGGGATATTTCGTACAAACGGGATGGAAATTAAAGAAATTGAAGCATACTGGCACTTTTGCAAGCATTTTTGACAGGCATGCAAAGACATTTGCAACAGATGCCGGGAGATACTGTAAGGTTCCAGCACATTACCCTGATCCAGGAAATCCTGGCCACTACATGAACGTGTTCAAGACTCCGAATACGCTGAATGATGGACAGCAACACCCTGTTGACAATTTCACCCCTAGAGCCAATTTAAAATGTTTTAAAGACGGTGCCATTTCATCTGGCGCTAGTGAGGTGAAAGAAGCAGCAGATCGATAGTTTTGTTGAGAAGAAGCACATGCTTGAGTATATCAGACATCTTGAGGAACTGCAAATTGTATATATGATAAGAGAGAATTCCAGATTGTACTCCTTCGATTCCGAATTCTAGAAGGGGGGGGGCATTGAAAATTTTAAAAACTTGGAAGGGGGGCATCGAAATTTACCGATAACCTCAACAGGGGCCCTGTAAAAATATGAGCTTTTTTCAAGACATCTTCATCCCCCTCCCTCGGTGTAATAAATGTACTTTCCCTAACAGATTTAAAAATACTGGTCGCAACAATTTAAAAAGGAACCAAGATACAAATATTGAAAATTTCAAGATGTGGATTAAAACAAGGCTTTATTTCAGGTATTCATGCATAAATGAAAAAATTAAAACATTAATGACGCTTGCCTTTCAAACTAGAACCCGGATTCAATCCTTGGTTGGACCACTATACTTAAGGGCTTGCAATAATTGGGGAGAAAGATCTACGTTTACATTGATATCAGTAGGTACCTCGGATTCCCTATCAATGGGGCAGAAATTTATATATAGCCTATACAGCTATACTCAATGAATATATCTTGGTTTTCACAATATGTTTATCTTCTGTTAGCTTATCAGAGCTATATAGCAACGTGCATGCATAAAACAACATCACAACTATATATCAAACATCTTGAATATACAGAATCACGCATGAAGCTGTGACATGAAATTTTGCAGTGAAATTATTTTCGCCGCAGCATCTTTAATGCCACACAAAATGATACGCTAATAATGCACGACGACGAAATTCGAATTGCATATAAAGATGTTCATTCAGGATGTTTCATAAATATTCATGCAAATGTTGATGAACAATTTCACCTAACAGATACTTTCAACAATGTTGTTACAGTTGGATCATACGATAGAATTACAGGTAAAATAAGACGTGCAAACGGGGGTGTAACAAGGATTGTTATTGCGTATGTTTTCTTTCCACCCTTGAACTTCGGACAAATTTGCTGTAAAATTAATTAAGTTGTTTGGGAAGGGCAGACGTACTTGTACTTGTATATCATCATTTACCGTGAAAGCGGCAATAGGTCTCACCTTGTTATTTACACTCGAAGAAGACGTAGGTTCCTTGAGATAGTCGCGAATTAACGATTTCTTTCAAATAGGTAACAGTGAATCACTTCTACAAACTTTCAAATTAATTCTATCGTATGCTCCAACTGTAACAACATTGTTGAAAGTATCTGTTAGGTGAAATTGTTCATCAACACTTGCATGAATATTTATGAAACCAGGGCCTTTTTTAAGGATTTTCCCGTGGGGGGGGGGCATTTATTGAAAAGGGACCTTTCTGTGAGATAATATATTACAGGGAGATAGCAATGGCTGAAGGCCACGTGTGTGACCAACATACCATGCACGCATGGATGGACGGGGGGGGGGGG